TATGGCACCTCATTTGGAGGTGACATTTATATATGACCTGGCAGGCAACCGTCTTTTAGTGACTCGTGGAAGCTCGAGGGATGAGTAGGACTCGGGACTAAACTCACTGTAGCCATGCATATAGGAGATAGAGTAGATCTATGTGAGGGATCTGCAATTCTGCCCTCTGCACCAAGTCTAGTACATGTAGTAGAATTAAGGTCCTAGATCTAGTGCAGCTAAGTAAACTAGGGCCTATAGTTCGGTTAAAAATACGTGGCGCAACTTCTCCTCAAATATCTCTTTAACGGGTGAATCTTACTTTCTGAATCAATGTCACCCATACTTTGCATAGCAGTGTGTATCAATTAAAATTTGTATTAACTAAATCTTATTTTTCTAGAACAATTGGGGTTGGAACTAGAATCTAGATTAAATAATTTTTCTTCCTAAATTTATATAAAATACTTGAAATTGAAAGCTCTGCCAGGCGTAAAATGGAATTGTTCACAGCACTTCCCGCTTCTCACACACATTTTGATCACGCATATGGGATGGGTACGTCACATCTCATCAATGACAATTTTTACTTGCAAAACTTGTTACAAAAATTTGTTATAGTGAACACATGTTTGCACTAATGGCTCTCAAAACATGCGTTCAATTTTTAATAGCTATCAGCTGTAAACATTAAAAAATCTGTAGAAACCACCCACTTTGGATTTTTAAAATAAGATCTAGATCTAGTATTTGTTAAGGAATTTTTTAGAATACAGCTTGCGGGTGTTTACAAAAATGTTGTGATCTGTCAAGACAAGTTGATACAAGTCAGTGAGCAAAAATTGGAGAACCTATGTTTGATAGTTGAGGAGATATTTGAAAATAAGTCGAACCACGAATTTTTTTATCGCACTATAGATCTAACTAGTGCCTATAGTGGACCAATCTGGGCTGGAATTAGCAAAATTTGGTAGTTTTATACTTCTTTTGTATGTTTGTCACTCTCTTGTGAACTGCTATTTCCGGGGTACCTTGATAGTCGAAGCAGACTTTGTGCTGTTTAGGCTAGAGAGGTGAGCAGAGTCGATCAAAGTCTGATTC